CGAATGCCTATGTCAAAGTTGTTTACTCAGGCGTTGACTTAGGGATCTGATTTAGTGATATGCTTTTAGAAGCTCCCTGTTATGTTCCAATCTTATACCAGGCTCTCACCTGAAGATTTGCCACTCGAACAAGAGGTCTTAACTTCCCTACATGTGTTAATAGATGGTTAGCTCTAGATATGATCCAACCGTTTAAAAAATTTCCGTAAAACACCAATGAAACAGTTTGTGTGATAGTCGTACGTTACTTCTATAGCATTCGTGTCTAGTATTATTATTCGGTTGTGAGAAGCTCATTGGAGTGCGTGTGTAATAGATACATAATTTACCTAATTTGCGAGGCGACGCCGTTCCTACCAGTAAAATAAATAGCATTTGCAAACTCAAAATGCAAGTTAAAGCTTGTCGCGTTGCTGTTGCTAAAATACGCCCCTATCAACCTAAGGACAGGTCACAAGTCCTTAGTATTGTTCTTGCAAATGATGAGCATAGCCAACGTGATAATCCGTCGAGCTACAGGCGCTACTCCCATGCGATAACGATTACGGTTACGATCACACGCAACTTCGATTGTTATATCTGCCATTGTCGTTCTTCGACCTAAAGAAGAACTTACGGTGGTATGCTTACTGATATATCAACCAGTGACTGAAATCACTTTTTCTCTATTTGCTGGGATGTAGACATGATATACAAGTACTTTGTTCAGTATGGCACACTATTATGAGAGTTCTCCATTGCAACAAACGTCCGCGATAGTGAGGACACGATTGATACTCATATTAAACGTATTACGTTACCTTTAAACAGAATAAAATGGTAAAGCAAGAACGACTTTTCAGAATAAACTGCACAGAAAGAGAACTATTGGAGAGTCTGCATGAAAGAGTAAAACTGCACGGAATGCCTTAAGGTCAAAGATAGTTTTAGTTCTATTAAAAGACCAGATTGGAACAGCGGACACCGATAATGCTGAAGAGGGACGTATTTTTCATGACGTTTTTGCTATCTGTCGTTTAACAGATACGTGCTACCTAACTTTTGCCATTCAGCGATGTTGCAAACGTACTGCATTCGATTATATGTCAAGCATGTCAAGCGCTACTTATGAAAACCAGCAAGAAGCGGAGCGAGACACCTGATGGAATATCTGTTTTTGTTTTTAAAGTAAAGTGCAGTCTGCGAATCCCTGTCTCTCATATTTTGACGTTCGCTTGACAAGCAGGCAGTTGTCAACCTGTTTCGGAGCACCATCTTCTGACCCAGTCTTCAAACACAGTAACAAAAGCGACCCGTCCAACAAACATCCGCTTTCCCTAACCTTGGTCGTATGGAACTATAATATCTTGCGCTATCCACAACGGTACAAATAATTAACGTTTAATCTTCTAGGAGCAGCTGATGCGTCTGCCGGAATACTCCGTCATCATGTAAATTGTTAGAGATGCAAAATGGCTAAACTTTAATGATGATCGACGGTAAATCGTTTGATTGTATATTTATTGATTTTAAGTCGGCATTCAAAACGGTCGCTCACGACAAGCTTCTTAACATTTTATCCAATATTCTCTAGGAAAAACTACTAAATTAGACTGAATCGGAGACTGAAAAGAAAGGAGCGTTCATGTATGAATGAAGCCTTTTCAGTTACTGCGAGACCGGCCACAGGACACGAGTTTTAACCCTTCATGTACATATTGTATATTGATTGATTGAAACATGTCTAGGTATAAATGCGTGTACAGCAATCAATGACGGCCAGCGTACGACTGCATCCCAGGAGCCATTAGAATAGTTCTGGAAGTGGTCTCTTTATGTAAATATTAAGATACCTGCACCAAAATGCGTCGTATTTCGGCATGTTTGGCACCGGAATCCGAATTTCAGCTACCCTTTTGGAAGCCAAGTTACACTACGTGGATCTGTTATCAAAGAACTTGATGTACTTACCGCTACTTTTTTAAGGTATAGCATCCATATGACCGAAGTTATAGCCGCTGCCATGAAAGAGTTAAAGAATAGAACCATTTGCCCCTAAAGATACATATAACTATACAAACAATACGTTTTTTCTATTTTATTATACACTCCACCAGTATGGAACACCGGCTTAATAAAAAGTAAAGCGATAACCCTATAAATACAGTAGACCTTCATGCGGGAAGTTGCCAATCGTTGAAACATCAGAACGCATTGTATAAAGCATGATGATACATTTCAATTAACGGAGAAAACAGATGGGAACATGCTTAAGGAAATGTGTTTAAATGGCGATAGAGCAGCACATTTAGTTGATCAGGTTCCGACGAACACTTGTAGCTACGAAAACGTTTCAACAAAAACTCGGAAAGGGCACAGTGGCCAACAATCTCTTTGTCAAGAGTCAAGGCCAACAAGCCGCAACGTTTGCTGGAAATCTGATTTACTTTAGGCTTTTTCTACTTTTTTTTTAAAGTAACACAAAATAGACGCAAAATAACGCCAAAAAATGTAATCTGTTCATATAATAGGCTTCAATAATATGAATAATAAAATGCGTTAAATAAGCAATACTGTACAGCATATATGAGATTATTATTGATATGATTGCCGATGACGGAAGAATACATTGCCCACGGCTAAGGCCAGCAGCGGCCCTGTCGATGTTTGACTGCGCTAGAAACACTAGTGTCTTCACGCACAATAATAATTACGATATTATTGAGTTTGAAGTGTTTGTTCTGTTAGAGTTGTATGGTGCCCACGGATGAATTTTTTTTTTTTAAACTGTAGCACCTCATACTGATCGCATACTCGATGCAATTTCCGTCGCATTTGGCACTACTCTACAGACATTTACAGTCACTGTGTTATTACATACACATGCTAATCAACATAGCTGTTCTTCTACTCATCTCAGATGAGGTAATGGTTTCTGTTCGTTGTCTACTTTTTTCCTCCCACTATCTCTCTATTTCGTTTTAACTCTGCGGAGTTGTTTTGTACGGTCTAAACCAGACGTTTGTACGCTAATACCGACCTCGAGCTGCTCTCGTTCTATTATTGTCTTTGCTACTGCTTGATGCATACAGGCGGACCTAAGCACGGGTTACTGGCTGTACGTATATCGTAGTTGTTGAAGATTTCAACGGTCGGAACTGGCGCAAACGACAGAAATCAGCTGAATGACAGATAAACTCCTATTTATTCTCACTCTCTTTTTTCCTCTTATCCATAGCACGGATCTTGCGGTAGCGCAGAACAGGTGCGTCATTGCCGTGATTGAGGTCGACCTGGCCGTACCGAGTGGGCCAGATCTAGTGACTGTGTCTCCAGCCAGATGTCCCGCTACCCAGATAGCTACTGTGACGGCGACCCAATAGCGAGCGAGTTACATAGACATGCTTGTGAAAAACCGCCATAAATTGACTGACTGCCCATCTCGCTCTGTTTCGCCGACTTGCTGGACGGGTCGCTAAGCAAAAATGAACAGGCGGGTGGACACGTGGACAGTCCAAGGAATCTTTCAGAACAACAAATGTCTTCCGAAGCTCTTTCTTTTTGCCGTTGCTGCACGTCTTCGCTGTCTGTTCAGTTTTACTGGTGCTGTTGTTGTTGTCTAAAGATTCTTCCCGTCGGATACACCTTCTTGACGCTATCCGCCTCTATAATTATGTCATATCTTTTTTATCGTGATGGTACCGTATTTGTAACAACATAAGCAATTGTATTACTGTGTCACTTTCCATATATTCTAGGAACTGCCAACAGTTGCCTACAATTCATTGATTGTTAAAATCGATCTACAGCGGGCGTGTATCCCCATGAATCAGTATATATTGAATATGGTGTGCCGATCTACTAAGAACTGACGCTTTATTTAGTTACTATGTTAAGCAATTCCTTCTGTTTATGCTATAAAATCATTATTACGACGGAGGAAATGCTGAGTGACCGTTCCGACGATGAAGCGACTAGATAATTGAGCTTGCAAATGAAGCTTCTCGCTGGGACCAGGTCACTTTCTAACATCAGCTTCTTATAAGCAGTTACATTTGGCCAGCTTGAGAAATTTTGAACTCAGCAGTAATACTATTGCATAAAACGTATATTTCATTACCGATTCAAATGAAATATAAAACATTATACGAGCTTTTAGTCTGTACAGAGAATATTGCGTCTCAGAAATTAAGAAATGTGTGCCAATAAACTAAACTTTGGAGAGTAAAGTATAACTTAGCTTAATAATGGTTGCGCAGGGTATGGGCAAAGTTACGTAGATGAAGCATAGGCCGTTTTTTGAGGTTAGATAGTTACTTGCTGATTTAATTACACGATTGCGTTATTTGAAGTTTTAAGATCATCATAGCCCAATATAATTTTGCCTGAAGTAGGCATACAGTGTTGACAGTCGCTGTTTTAGCCGTCACTTACCGGAAGCTCCGAAGGTATTATGAATTAAAATAAAAAAGGATCTTTCAATCAAGTTAGCAATCATATTTTCGCTTACCTGCAGATAAACTTGCAACTACAACAAGGGTTTTGTGTTCACTTTGTGAGGGGAAAATCTGCCAGTACTTCCATTGACATGCCTGCCGGCTGATTACTATTGCAGAAAATTACTTAGCGCTGTGTTAAGCCTCCAAGTTCAGTTCTGTTCTGTTTTCCCAGCTTCGCATGCTAACATTGCTATTGCAATATGTTATTTGGCGAAGCTCTTTTTTGTTGTAACCGAAACGCTGACTTTAGTTACGTAGAGCAACACACAGTTAGTGACACGACGTGAGCTAGCGAGCCCCCGTTGTGGAACCCTGTGCACGTTCACCTGCGGTGCTCCCGTCTTAACATCTGCATTCGTGGCTTTTGCAGAGTTTAAATTGACGGTAAGAAAGAAAGGGAACTCTCGCTATTGCTGTCAAGCTGCCAGCGTTCGCCGTCGCTCTTCCTTGACTTCGACGGCTTGACTCTAACTAGTAGCCAGGTAAGAGGGCCGGCAATATCGTAGAACGATCACTTCTCTTTCCTTTCTTGCAGTTCAGTGGGGCAACGGACACCTAGTGACGACCTCCTCCGCTGCCGACGACTGCGTCGCGGTTCGGTTTTGTTCGAAGCGCGAAACGGGACAAAGCAAAGCTGAGTACTGGAGTCACTCATTCAAAAGTAGCCAACGAGACAAGAGTCTGGAAGACGAGTTAGCTACGCCGGCTCGTGCTCCATTCGCCCCTAGTGGTATTGTGCTGTTGCTTTGACGTTCTTTTTTTTAACGCTGTGCTTCTATTTTTTAACATTAAGCCGATGAGCATCAATCCGTGAACAACAACTCGTTACATTGTAGCACAATTTTTTTACGGCCGAGCTTGTATGCTACTGGGTGCTTGCCTTGAAATAGTGTGTTAAGAGCTTCTGCTCACTAAGCCAGCGCACGATAATATGGATGAAAATGGACTGTCTTTCAAACGCCAGCTGTTGTACACCAGTTCTTCGGGGTACTTCCAAGCGATTAGAAATTTTTACAGGAACATGCAGGCCACATGAGCAGTTTGAAAAAGCACTTCAACATAAAATTGACGATAAGTTGACCGAAAGAGGCCGGTTCGTGCGCTCCAGCTGACAATATTTTTATCATTTCGCTAATCTGAATGTTAACATGGATCGTTGTTTGCCCGCCTGTTTGATTGTAGCGAATATAGGCCAGGCAAGCAAGAGGTAAACTTGTATTGTCTTAAAGAGTCGTCACCGTCGTGACAAAACCGTCTTCGCGGTACTGCTCTTAGGTTGTTTGTCGAGCCGCGGCAGCGTTCTATCATTCAAGTAGCCAGTCAGCAGGGTAGATGTCAGCGTGATTGTGCTGTGTTTTGTTTTCGTCGTACTGCAAGCAAAACGACTAGTAGTAGAACGAGTTCATAGAAGACGTCATGACGTGAAAGGTACATCGAAGCATAGTGCGTGGCGGACTAGGTTTTACTAGGAAACAAACCTGATTATCGTTCTGACACGGAAACCGATATCTACCCTATAAATGGAACTGGTTGAAGTTCGGTGAACATACAACGATATTTTGGACTATGCCCTTCTTCAGCCTGCCCCAAGAAGACCATTCGTACATTCAGGGCAATCACGTTTAAGAAATTACACGAGAGCCAGGTGGTGTATTGTGTATTGTCAAGGACGTTAATACCCGATCGATTATTTTGTGGCATGAAGAAAAGTGACGCCTCATCGTGTCTAGAAGGAATCGAAGATAATCAGCTATACGTTAGATTTGTATGGTTTATTGCAAAACATAGCTACTGATCAAAGAGCTGACTCAAATTTTCATTAAATTGTTTTCCTCTAGCTATTGTAGTACACAGCAACGAATGGCCGTTACGGCTCACAATGTTCTAGCAGCAGCATCAGTAGTTTCATGGTTTCCAGCCGCCAGCATCTATGTCCGTAGTCGTGTCTTGTCTGTCTAGAACTGGAAGCGAATTCCGTCATGTGCTGTTACCATCGTTGTCTAGTAGCAATAAACGCAGCGGTTTTAACTAAGTCGCGCGCACCTTCCCCATACCGATTAGGAGGACAACATCGGTCGGGAGCGTGGCCGGACATCTCTGAGATAGCGTCTTCTCTCGTAGTAACACCAGTAAGTACTCCCAAAGTGTCTTGCTTGTGATACCAGATTGCTAAACTGGCTGTAGTCGCTTGACTTAGCGGCGATTCTGCAAAAAAAACCTGAAACATTCACGCGAACCTATTCGATGAAGCTTCGAACACAAAACCCGAAGCTGTATCAGTCAACTATCGTATTCTAGCACTGTGGTACTTGAATAGTCCGATACAGAAGATCGATATTTCTGTTGAACCGCGCGCAGCTGTTTCTGAACACTTCAAGAGCCATCCAAATGCAGACTGGACTTGTGTGATGTTCTCTGAAGGAGCTGATGCGTGCGGGCGGAAACGAGTGAAGCATTGTACTAGCGTCACCCCGCGTACATGGAAGCAATTTATGTTTAGATATAAAAAAGGAAGACCTGTATTCTATACTACAAGCGACTGCGAATGATAAAACCTGCGATACGAGAACAGCCGGAGGCAGTGAATATTCCCAAGGGGACCAGCTTTGTCAGTGGGTGTTGTTTCGCTGCATCAGCACATATCGTACTAAAAAAATTTTAAAGATTGCTACTGAAAGTGATGTCCGAACGTGAGATCCGATACAAGGAAGATTTTGCTACAGGTAATCAGTACTGATTGAATCATATAAATAATGGCTGCACATGAAAAAAGCGTTGACTGTACTAGCAGCGTCTGAAAAGTAATCTCGGTGTTTCGCTCACGAACGCAAGGACATAGTGTCCTGCTAGAGGCACCTTATTCAGATAGACCCTGTTCAAGTTGAGTTGTTCAGAATAGTGCGCTAACAGTGATACGAGCCGACAAACGGTCAACCTTTTCCGATTTCTAGTCGGCGAAAGATCTAACCAAACCAAATAGTATATATTAAATATTTGCTATGGTCGCAGTGCGTCACGTCACGCTGTGGATGTGTCTTTGTGGTCTTTACAACGATAGCGGCTAGATTCTATTCCTTTTGCAGCATGGCGAAAGTGTCGATACTGTCGTCGTTGTTGTTATGTTCATCCACACACAGTTCAGCTAGCCAACCCTTCCAGCAAGTTGGTCAGTTATCTAATCAATTTAGCTTAATATCCAGAAGCGTCTGTCTAAATCAAGCGCGCAAATATCCCCCGAGTAAACACAAAAGTGGTTTTAACCGTCGCTGCTTCTAGTGATTTCGGCTGTGCGATTGCGGGAGAAAAGTACGGTCAAGGCTCGCTGTCGTTATTGTAGTCGTCGTCTTTGTCACAGTACGCCTGCCAATGAGGTGGTGGCGTGAGGTTGCATAGTTGATGAGACGTAGGTGCAATAACACTGATACAACACGCTCACCTGTTCAGTCGGCCATCTCCTGCCGTGTCGCTTATCGACAGTCGTCGCCTGCCCGCCTGCCGCTTTGGCTGGCATCGTATCCATCGATACGGGTGGTGATTAGTGATGCCGCTGGCCAAAACGGACATCGAGACAGCGACAGGATTCCCATCACAGCAGCAGCTGTCGCCTCCTGAAGGCGCGATAGAAACCCCAAGTACTTCTGCTAATGCGGGCGAGCAGCTAGCTACGAGATTGTTGTCAGAAGCTAAAGAAAAGCACGCCGCCTGCCGCTTGTGTGTCGCGCTCAGTCTAACCTAAGCGTAGGGTTTGTGTTAAGTACTTAATCTAACAGGTTACTTTTGGTGCCTGCTTGGTACCATTAGGACATCCATTATCTACAGTGTACTACTATACTGAACAGCTTACCGTAAGAGCTATACCTGCGTGTAGAGTACAACACTTATATAATTATAACTACAAGGAACAACTATGTTCGACGGATTATAAAGCACCGAAAGCTGACATGGAACTTCTGACCTCTGATAGTTGATTGCTCGTAAATTAAACAAACTGTAAGCTCAACTTCTATTAGGGACGCCGAAGTTCCAAGAAGAACGGAAAAGAAAAATCGCAATAATGTCACTACATGGCGCCGAGATCACGGATGAAGTCGACCCGCTTCAGGAGCTTCATGAGAGCTTCCGCCCACTGAGTAGGTGTACCATTTACCTTTTTAAACACAGATTACAGTTCGCTGGTCTTCTTCTAAATCTGTTTCCATTGTTTTTATTTTACTTGCGTAGGTAGACATATGCAGCCGGGTTAAGAAAAATGAATACCAACAACTCAATTCAGAGTTGCGTTCATAATACGCAGGCTCATTTGTTTCTGGAAACTCGTACTAATTGAGATTACAGCATTTTAATGAAAAGCGACTTGATTTTTCAGCGGCTTTTAATGGCAATGGTGTGAATACCTCTAAGGCGCAATTTTCAGCTTGGTGTTTTGCTTTAAGTTAAATAGGACTAAGATTAAAGCCTTGACTCACTAAAAAATAAGTGAAAAACAAATTATTATTACATATTATTGGCTTGTGACTATACAGAACTGCTGTTATAGTTTAATCTATTTTGCCGCGCCGTTGCCTTCAATTTGTGCCAGCCTATCAAAGTGTTTATGTGCTCGTTATGCTGCAATGAGGGACAGGCAGCATTATGATCTGCTGCTGTTTCCGTCCCAGTCTCACGATGAGTTCTGACAGTGTTGTGTCTGTGCATATGGCACACAATTGCTATTTGTAGAACCAGCCCATTCATCAAAATAAAACACCATTCGTCGGGCTAAAAGCGTTACTTACACTATATTCCATTCGTATTGTTCCTTCGGAGTGTCACGAGGCTCAGCTTATAAAGCATACGTGAAAAGTCATAGATATCGCTCATTACTGATAGCAGAGTGTCTTTGCGGCTCTTTTTATGCCCTTGGAGACCGTAGCTTCTTTCGGGCATTTTTTCAGTCGATTGGCTAGTACGCAGTCTGCAAAGCGTCGCTGTGAAACACCCTCTGGCAATACAACGATCAAAGACTAAGTGGTACACATTTTCAATACAATACGACTGCTTATAATGCTCAGCGCAAAAGGGACTATACTGTAGTTTTAGCCGTTTTTTTTCGGCCTGTGATTGTCAGTAATTCGAAAACATGCTTTGCAAAAATGTCTATTCATGTCATCATAGTTTCGGTAACTAGCTTTATTGTGTTCTGTACCATACGAAATGCGCGAAATTAAGACATTATTTGTGTAGATAAGGTTACTTTGTCACTATTTTGCTACCCTATTTCTATTACATAGCTCCGAATTACGTAGTTCAGTGTTAGTTCGGCGGCAACAAATGGGTACTATCTGGCTAGATCGCGCTTTATCAGTCATCATGAACGTAAAGTCGTATTCATGGTTCTTCCCTGACCTCAGTACAAGCAGCAACGAACCTGAAGCCCGTGGGACTAACTTCTTCGTGATATACCGTATTCAGTTGTACTAGGCTGAAGCAGACTGCCAAATCGGGCTCATTGTTATCGCCAGCAGGACGTTGACTGAGGAGCTGCTTGGCCTAACACTGCTGCTATAACGCTTACCCGCGACGACGTTTATGTAGACAAACAGTAAGAGCCATCTTAATGGCGATGAGCTAGCTCGATGCGTAGGCACCTGCCTATATAAGATGGCATGCATCGCATGTGTCCTCTCAAAGAACCGATTCCGCAAAAATGGCGCGGCTACAATCGCCTACAAATACGCTGTCATGCAGAATATATCATATGTTAATATTTTCGCCTTTCGGCGGCAGGTGAGAACTTCATCAAAGGGAAGACTTCATAAAAAAAAATACGAATTTTGGTGATTCATGTGCGTTTAGACAGGTAAATTCAAGGTTGAAATAACTACTTCCTTTGCAATTGTTTGTTCGCGCATGTTCGTGCAGTCGCCATAAGGTGATTGTTGTCCTATGACATATGTGTTACTTATTTATTTTACTATTTTTTGTCGTTGTTTAATTACGGAAGGGTCCAGAGCGTTCTGTTTTCGGGTGTTTAATATTTCAAATTATCGCAGCTTGCCTTGAGGATACTGTAACTAAATGTATTCGGATTGCCAGAGCTCCTGGGAACGGGTGGGAAAGAAACCCGTGGCCATCCGAAAAAAATAGAAGCCTGCGGGACAAGCTTATGCAGCCAAAGATGTTGGCCGACTTTTTGTAGCTGAAATGAAATTTCAAGTTAGTCGGCAGGTTTTGGTGTGATACTGGACCATAGTGTCCTTTGCGTTCCGGCATATCTTAATACGCTGTATAGTTATGAATGAAAGTCTCTATGTTTTGGCTTCTGACTAGCTTTCCTCAGCTTTTCTGTAAAACTATAGCAGTTGTTCATAGTTCATAGCAGTCATAGCCGAATCACGATCGAAGTCACGAAAACGAAGTGTGAAGTAAACAAATATCATAGGCGAAACTTCGAACGCTAAGCTGGCCAAAAGAACGAGCACAGCCAAGCAGCAATAGGATCGCGAAGGCTCCTGAACGAGATAAGTACGGTGCAGATAATACGTGCAAACTATATCGGCTACTAAGGATTCTAGAGCTCGTAGCGCTATAACAACAACAACTGACTTGACTAAGACGAGTAACCCTTCGCAACAAATGAATAATAACAAGCAGAACAATAGAACAAACACGGAAGGAGTGTGGAGAAACTTCGCGCTAACGCAAAATCATCATCATCTCGCCCCGTGTCCTCTCTCTCTTTCGTGTCTCCGTAGCGGTACGAAATGTGCACCGCAATGTCTGGATAACCCGTTGGTAAGCATCGGCTACTTCAGAGAGCGCATCTGCTGTTTACGCTCGTATAACCGGTTACGCGCTGTTGTCTTGACCACTGGACAAAGGAAACAAGAGATGAACCAAGCGGCACTCCTTCACCAGAGATCACCGCAAGCACGATCATCACTTTACCGCCATTATCTTGTCATTTTTGTTGTCGTGGGTAAGAGCGAAGTTGGCCGCGCTGCTTCACTGCTAACTGCCAGTGGAGCAGCCATCTCTGTCACCTTGCAATAGATAAGCTGCAAAAGTTCGAGACTATCTGACCAGTTCCCTCGCCTCGTCTGCCTGTATTCGTTTATATGAAGTCCGTTTCGAATTAGTTTAGCGGTGTAGTCCAGCTGCAGCTGTCGCCGTCTTTGTTATTTGCTGTGACGGTTGTATCGTGGTGCTAAGCTGCTGCTTCTAGCGCGTCCGTGTGCGTGTGCAGAACCAGCTGGAACTCCGTCCGTCGACGCACCGTCTCATACTTGTCTGCTTGTTGCGCAGTCTGCAAGGTATTGGCTCTCAGGCACAAGAGACTAAATGGAATAAAAAGCGCTCGTTTCTCCGGCTCTTCCAGCTTTATGGTGATGGTAGTGATGCTAATCGTGTGGTGCAAAGTGGGACATGAATAGCAGCAACGAACTAGTGTGAAAACTGGCGAGCTAACTAATAAACAAATAAACGAGCTCTAGAACGAGTTCCTTCCTGCAAACTCTTTTGTTGCTACCACCGGAGTGGTTTTTGTGGCTCAAATAGTATTTATGGTTGCTGCTGCTGCTGCTGCCGCCGCTCTGGCTTCGTTTGTTTGCGGGCATTTGGAAATTTGCTATCCACTCGTTCCATTGAAGATGTTAGTGCACGATAGTAAGTATTACTTGAACGCCTAGTAATAACATGATAGGTCCTAATAGGCCGTTATGCTATTTTTGCTGGGCTGGGGATGAAATACAAGCGGGACAGGTACCGACAATTGGAGGAATATAGTTGCTGTGAAAACAAAATAATACGATAGAATTAATAAAAAGACAGCAGTAGAAGTCTATATGTGTTCAATAGAATGTCGGATGTATAAAACGCACCCATGTATCCGAAAGACGATAACCTGGATTTAAATGGAATAAAAAGAAGATATGAAGAAAGAGAATATGAAGAATAGCTACGATGAATGCTTGCTCGCCAGTCTAGTTGTGGCCCGCCCGCCGAAAATATCCGAGTAGATGCAAACATTTAAACAATTCGAACGTTTGTATCCATTGTTATCTTGCACTAAGTGTATATAAGAATCGAACTTTATGCCGTTAAGTATCGTCTATCGTTTTCTTTTACCACATTGTGTACCGCAGTATTCGTACCGATTTCGTTGATTTGCTTCCCTTTTTTTTCCCTACTTTTATCCTATTTACTCATTTTGTTTAAAGAAAGTACACAGAATAGAACTGGTCATATCAGACTGGTATGAGTCTGTTAAGACATTTGGACTAACACAAAAATCTACGTTGTGCTCGCTCATCGTCATTGTTATTGATTTATCTTGAAGTGGCCTAACCGTTATAAACATAAAACTAATACATATAGCTTCTGTCGTGCCATGCGCAGTACGAAATTTCCAATACGTCGGTTTTCTGTTCTTTTTTCACTTTGCAAACATTCCCGTGCTTCTTTCGGCGGTCTAGCCGTAGTAAGAAACATATTGTACCCTAAAACCCCATCGTTGAATTTCGAACTTATGCGTCTTTTATCAATCATACTTATATTGTTACATAGTTATTTCCATTAGCAAGATAATGTATGGGTTTACCAAAAGGTGCCCCTGCTACTCCCTGATTTAACCAGAACACGCGGTACAATCAATAGATGACAATTTATGATTCATCTTTTATGAGACAAGTTATACTTCTTTTTTCTCTCTACAATGCACCACAATATATAAAAAAAAAAAAAAAAAAAACAGCATAATATAAACAAACTTCTATATATATATATATATAAAACAACTTTCTACATTATCGAAACAACTTTCTTTATTTACATAAATTGCATGGCTATTTGTCACAGATGGAACTATTTTTTACGTCGCGTACCGGTGACTGTCATGTAGACATTGTTGGAAATTGCATTCTTATCAATCTGCTATGCTTTTTTTTCTTACGACGTTTATTCAGCTATTAAATAAATAGAATAGTAAAACCTATTGACCAAGTTATAATGGCTTCGCGCTTTTTCTCCATTTTAGAGGAAATGTTAAACGAAGAACAGGAGTCACTACGCGAACGCGTAGCTGACTTAGAGATTAAGGTACTAGAACAGGCCGAAGAACTAACATGTTTAAGGACGACGATCGCAGATCTTACCAGAAGACTGACACAACTCGAAGGCCGTGGTAAGTAGTCCTTTCTGTTGATATTCATTGAGAATTCCTATCGAAACGACAACAGATGGTTACTAACAAACAAAATCCTGTTTTTCGGGCGTTTTAAATAGTATATTGTAGATTAGCTGCATTCCTATTGGCATGTATGTATACTTAGCTTAGATAGATAGAGTTCCGCTGAGTGAAGTAAGTTTCATAAGACTATGTTTTTCATCGATGCCAGTAGCCCCAGTCAGTTCTTACTCGGATGGTGAATCGAATGCTGTGATATGAATATATATATATATATATATATATAGGTCTTAACGAAGAGCGAAGTTCTTCAACGAGAGGTTTATACCGTAACTAATCTTTGCGATTGAGAACTTTTATCTAGTCGTATTTTTTAGTACTATATCAAGATGCGGAAATTGCTTTCCTTTAAAATATGAAATCGTCATATAAAGAGGCGGGCAGTTTAACTGTTAGAAATCCAATGCCTCATCCTCATACAGCCAGTGGTAAAAGTTGGCATGACTAACTGAAATACATTAGCACGTCGCAAGATATTAAAAGAAAGATGCAAGAGCTAATCTTAATTGAGTTCATTTTTTTCAAAAACGAAAATGTCGCTAATTTAGCTTATCTGCGCACTTGTCTATGTGTTTATGATACGAGCTTATTATCTTCAAGTCTGTTTTGTTCGAAGCAGCATTGGCGATAAAGTATATGTACTTTATTTTTGGAGGACAGGTTTTTGTGTTCGAATCACCTTTTCGCGATCTGTAAAACGAAGAATCAGTGGTTCCACCCGATAGCAAACTGTTGGCCTGCCTATTCGTGCTAACATAGAATCATGACAGAGAAAAATGAACACTGACACAGTGGATAGTCCACGGTGGTTAACATCAATCCTAACACAACAACGGTATCTGCTGTCCAGTTGTGGCCCTTTTCATTTCGACTGTTTTCAGAAATATCAACGATGCTAATTTTGCATAATCTAAATCTCGAAGTTATAAGCTGGCCTTTGAGGTTTAAATAGGCCTTATTTGAGTAAACCTGATGTGAAATGCCTCGAGCTATTTTCTAGAATCTTGTTTCTAGAATTTTTGTTATGTTAAATAGGCTACGCTAGGATTGAACTTCGTTTCACGACTTCTCGATATTTTCCACGTGTCAGGCTTCGTTTATTGCTAGCTAATTTGTAACAGATGGCTGTCGTCATTTATACTGGTCATTGTTCTATGCTGATATATAGGTCGGTCCGCTCATTGCTGTGCAGTTCCACATAACGTAAAGAGGAAGACCGCACTGATCAGGTGTATCAAGCTATAATTGTCTGTTTCAACTCAGGCATTGTTTCTTTTTTCTTTATTTAATCACATTTGTCGTATGGTATATATCGTTGACGGGGCTCGAAACTGGGATCCTCCTCTTTTTTCGGTTAGTGATTTGGCCATAAAGGCTACCGCACCGATTTCATTCAATTCTAGCGCTGAGAACTGCAGATACGGCGGATAATGCTAAATACGTTCCTTGCTACATATATACATATCTTCCATGTATTCTACGCATGTATGCTTGTGATGCCAGACAGAAATTTCTTCGAAGAAGTGTTTAACTAAAGATGAGCGCACTTGGAACAGTTTTATCGTGCGATCCGAATGTGCGACAGGAAGGGACCATCGTCACATTGGCGCAAGCGGCGCTTCTACAATCATCTAAACGGCCATCAGCACAGCTGATGCCGGTGATCAATTAATGGCTACAATGGTAACCGTATTATTGTATTATATTATATTGTAAGAGAGGACCCGCAGAGCCGTAAGTACCAAACGTCGCAGCAGACGCGATGATCGTTGCTGGCAGTCGTACGGACACGGCCATATCCACCGCTAACCGATCCCACTGGTGGGAAGCAGATAGACGCACAGACGGACAGATGGGCATTAAGTGATTTGTCGCATCAACTCTTCCGATGTTCCATGCTTTGCTCTGCTGCTAAACGTTGTTTCGACGTTTACTTGTGTTGCAGCCGTGAGACAGACAGGAGCAGTAGAGCGTCGCCAAAATCTGTTGACGGCGTCGATAACCAGCAGCGTTATGTCTGCTTTGCTCAATGCCTGTTGCTCCTGCGCTCGCTGTTCGTTGGTCACGCGGCGTTGGACATCGCGACGTTGCCGAGTCGTTTGATTCAACGGTCGACACAGCTCAAGACTGATAAGGTCATCGAGTCAAAGACGATGGCGACCTTCAATTTAAACCGGCGTCACTCGCACGTCATCAGTAACACCTACGGCCCCATTGCTGTCGTTGTCATCGTGGTTGTTGTTGTTACTATTGTGGTGATAAAGCCTTTGTGGGTACCCCTCAAGTAGCGGTTTCGTTTTTTCCCCACTGGTACATCCATATGGCTATTGTTAGGAATAAATAACATAAGATTCTATTGCAATAGTATAGATAGGATGTTAGACAATAGCGTGGATCGTGGGATGATCATCAGCATAGTGCGTAGTCACGTTTAACAATTATTGGTATACTATTCTAGTCATTATCTTCGACGATTGTTGGTCTTTTATGAAAGTGACGTTCCCTTCGAGCCAATAAAGATAGATACAGCTAGTCTCAGTGGTTTTCCCGATGGGTGTCTCAATATTGCGAATCTCTGACGGACGTTACGATACCTAGTTCACAATTTTTTTGTCTAATCATTTGCTTTTTTCTGCCTTCTATTTTGGTATTTGGGTTGATATGTGACCTCAGTTTGCTGCCCCATAAACGATGACTGCTAAGTCTAAAGGAACGCGCCAGATTTTCAAAATTTCTATAGCATCACTCATTTCCTGTACTATCTTCGCACTGTAGGGATGCATTTCTTCTTTCGACAGTACTGGCTACTAGAAGAAGCATGTCGGCAACCGAAACTCAAATAAATGACTCTTCAATTTCTCCTATTCCGTCTCGCTATGACCGATCAGTGATTATCGAGCCCGTTTGATGGCAGTCGAAAAATGCGGCACAAAATAGAAATTTCGTTACCAAGTAGAGTTACTGTTTATCGGAAACGATTGAATTCCATTACCTATTGATTTTCAAGTCTGAATCTAGGGTACATCGGACATGACTACTTTATGACTGTGGTTTCGTTGACGCTTTAACAAGTAGTCAAGGATTATCACGCAAACGACGGTGAACATTCACGGGCAACAAGCTAGCGTATCGACTGGCATCGAACATATATATGTATATCAATTGCGGAATATATATTGCATTTCCATATATCCTATCTCAGTGCTCGCGCTTAAGAGCAGTCTGTATAGTACGTTTCTATAGTTCTCTCTTATACAATTTGTACGCTAGTTACACGCTGACATTTGTATTAGCATACTCCCTCAGGATCTTCTGTGCGGGATGAAAATGAGTCCATTGAATTTGGACATAAACAATTCATACGGTGTGCTGATACTGAATCACGTTAAGCAACAATGGTCTGTCAAGTAGGACAGATACGCACACAAACTTCGCGTGAGAAGTTTAGACATGATCATTGTACATAATATTAGAATTTATAGTATACTCTGTTTGAGGAAATGACATAAATACCGGCTGAAGACGTTTCGGTAGAGCCATGCGATGACCCACGTTTGTACTGCCGTTTAACTGCTATGAATAGCAACGTCAATCATAGTATAGTCTGTCTGAACGAATTTTACGCTCAATTAGCACATGTGTGTATTTCCAGCTCCGACGATAACAAATACTGCCCCGTTAATACCGCACAATGGATTTAAACATAGTTACAGGTAAGATTAGACTGATTAGAAAATGTAGAAAGCTTCCCGCATAGTTGCGTGTTAATGATACATTATTTAGCACTAAATTAGTTCAATGCCGAAATGAGTACCACGTCGTTATGGTAACCACCTGCCATTTTCGGCTTGGCCTGTACCGCGCAGTGAACCTATCGCTATCTAAAAGTTATTAGAAAAAAAAATAACTTAAAATTTATGTTATATTAATGTCCTAACAACGTCGTGTTGTTTGTCAGCCCAACAGTTAACATAAAAGGTCAGACGACCAGGCCTGCTGTGATTATCTACTGGCCAAAATATATTGGAAAGGTCAAGTTTAGATCATTTCCTAGATCGATGTTTACATATAAGGCATAATTTCGACAGTCCATTACATGTTAACCAGGAACTAGCATAAAGATTCCTTTGGAACAGTGCTACCGCTTAAAACGTGCTCCGTAAAAAAGCCAGAGGCGCTTGTATGATCAGAGAAAAATTATATTCAAACTTCTTTTTTGTGTTAGGCCTCTGTCAACTGTGACTGTACACGTACTAGGAGATTGATAATGAGTGAAAATTTATTTATGTTCACGCGTTCTAATTATGTCAGTCAATATATTGGACTTCCTATTATTCATTTGGCCATAAATTCGCCTTATAGCCGCTTATATATATGCAAAACACTAATAAAAAAAACATGGTATCGTTATTTCCGTCGTTATCAACCGTCAGCCATCGTTCGCTGAGCTCCAAGCTAGCAAGGCAATCTTCGGGGCCTTCAAATTTGACAGGAGAATCTCCGACGCCATCAGGACCACATAATCCACATGTGAATGGCCACTCCGATACGCCAGATGGTAAAAGGTATCAAGTGTATTGTCATATGCAGTTGCATTTTTACAATAGCGTAAGCACTTCATGATATTTATCTTGAATAAGCAGGCGCACGTTCTCAACGGTCTTTCAAAATCAACACTTTTGCAACGGATCAAAATGCTCACTGCAGCACCGGCAGTCCCGTGCCGGATTGTATGTTTCAGGTTTACGTCCGGAACTTCTCTATAGCGGCGTTAGATCTTACGGCATATAGAACGTATGTCTGAACTACTCGAATAGGCAGTCAGCTGTTATCTCACTCTGATATAATGATAGGAGGTCTATTAGTACTGGGAGTCATCTCTATTGCCTTTATGGTAAATCATATGTAACCTGTTGTTTGGGTAACCTTTATTTTAGATTTGGCTATGCAGCGTCATTGTCGTCCCTTCATAGTGAGGGCTCTTCTTCAACAAGATCTACCCCGCAGCCCCCACATCAGCAACAACAGCAGCCCCGTCACAAAAGTCTTTCGGCCGGAAATCTTCAGCAACTGAGACGAGTCAATGGAGGTAGCTCCCCAAATATACCGACGTATAGCGTCACCCCCAATGGATACGCTGACCACGCAGTGACGTGCGTAATTTTAAGACGACTCCACCTAGTTTTATTATGCTTGTAATGTATAACAAATGAGAAGCCTCTTTATTCCAGCACATAACATTATAGTATTTTTTAATTTTTTGTAAACAGTAACATTGCAGGATAGCATTTTCTGAACCAGTAGGTTCGCGCTTGTCAACAAAGGATAGTATAAACTATTTACCAGAAACTTTATACCAGGCGACGTATACATCTCTGATCGTCGCGTTTCGCTCTTTACATGGCTACGGCACATAGTTGATATTTCTACGACTTGTTAGTTACTAATTAATTTATGATTGTTAGGTGCACTGTGACATGAGCAGCCGGAAGTGACTGGCCGGCTTTGCTCAAGTCAGCGCTTTTTACAGGCTTTTAGAAACGTGGTGTTCTTATTTCAAAAATGGTTTGTAACGCCCATCAACAAAAAGGAATCCACTCAGATTCAGTACTACGGGCTTTCGTGTGTTAATTGAAACAGCGAGCTCTGTAAGGAATAGCTTGTTCGAAGTCATTGGGTCGCTTGTTCAAAAACACCAAAGAAATTTACATGCTGTATACATTTTTTAATAGGAGATTTTTGGTATTTATTGTAAAATAACGACGAAATTGGTAAGCACCGTTTCATATGTCAAGTTCCATCAACGATCATAACTAGAGTTACCAATGTGGCAATAATGCTTTCCTTTGTCTCTCTATAACTAGCCGTGTCGATTCTTCATTCCATATACAGTCCACGAACCATTCCAATATAAATATATAATTTACCGTTATATTTACAAATAGTTAGAAATAGAAACTTTCGAAAAGATTGTTCATATAGTTATACTAAAGTATAAACGCGTTCGGTTCTAGACGGGACTGCGTGTTCGATCCTGACGATGGAATTATTCGTTTTACCGTTCACGGACACCAGTTACTGCTGCCTGTTCCAACGGACCTCGTGGCCGAATACTCCCTCACGAAGGTCAACCCCATCCCCCAGCAACGGCCAAAACTTGAATGGGTCTATGGCTACCGCGGCCGCGATTGCCGGGCCAATCTACATCTACTGCCGACCGGGGAGGTTATCTACTTCGTCGCCAGCGTCGTCGTGCTCTATAACGTGGAGGAGCAGGTTCAGCGACACTATCTTGGTCATACCGATGACATTCGTTGTATTGCAATTCATCCAAATAAACTGGTTGTTGCAACAGGGCAGACAGCTTCAATTGATCGAAGAGATCGTCGGGTAAGAATAAATAGTTTCTGTTGTCGAATTAATAGGTTTGTTTGAACGTTGTCTGGTCTTGGCCGCAGTTCGTACCGCGCTGCTCGATCTGATTGAAACGTTTAATGGAAGTAGAACATACATTGCTATAGTTAAACACAACATGGTATGCTGTTCGCCTCATGAAATAGATAAAATCGATATTATAGGTGCGACGTTCACTGCAGGACATAGTCAAGAATTAACTAAAGAAGAACTTAAAAAAGAAACTAAAATATAACTGCACTTAGTATATTGTCTTATTACCGAGCGAGATAGCTATTTCCTACAGGCGATTCCGTACAGCAGGTAACAACAAGTTACTAATATAAAAATAATTTTTAACTTTTTCATACGATGCAGTTGTTCCGCAGTTAATCTAGCTATCGAAAGGCACGCCAGCGGCATTAAGGCATTGACTTAACCGTTTTCGGTCCTGTATGTACGTCAAACATGTGAAGCGTTGTAAGGCAAACGTGTGAATCGTTTTAATTGCAAACGGATACTTTCTTTAATCGATCAACCACCTTTCTATATCGGTTACGGAGAGTAAACTCAAAATCCATTAACTATATGATACCCACTTAAGTGTAACATTGTCTAAGTGGACAAAATATTACTTAAATTAGCGTAGATATTGATTAATGTTATCGATCAATTTAATATGCGGAGCGGAAAACACACACAATATCATTTGTAAGGAAATAATATTTTTCCCGTAACGATCGTTTTCATATTTCGTAAAAAATTATCTGGACACGTGTATTTTGTTGGGGAGTACAAAAATGGCAATAGGGGATGCTCGCACTTGATGATGTTATGGATGTTTCCAGTCATCCGACTTGTTTTGCACTTGCTTTTTATCTTGTGTTTCGTACGTAATTATTCATTTTTTCGTTGTGTCCGAAAGCTGCTATAACCTGATTTGTGTATGGTCAGGATCCAGGAATCCGTTTCTAGATAAGCTTACAGCAGGAATAAGTCTGCCGATAACGGTGAACAACGAACGAAGAAATTAAGCCAAGTTTTTTTAATCGTTGTTATTTACCAACGCCTAAGGGATAATCATATGGCCCTCGTCGTAACAAAGGCCAGCTAGAATACTCAGAGAGTTACCTCTAAATTATCTAACGGATAGTACTAAATTCAAAGGATTTTTTACCGGAACATCGTGTCCAATCGAAGCAGGGTTAATAGTCTAGAGCCAGTTTCCCATGATAAAGATATAACGTTTTATGTGTGTATGTGCATTCTGTGTTGTTGTTGTTGTTGTTTGTTTCCATATATACACAATCGTTGCTGTAGTGTGCACTTTGGATTGTTTAAAAACAATGACGGATTTGTGTACTTTTCTATACTCAGTGTCTATGCAATTTCTGGTAGCGAAACTTCATCACAATGAAAACTTTCCAAGTGGCAATATTGTTCCCTAATCGTTGTCCCGAAGAAGGTCACTCAATACATCTTCGACCGTTCGTGTGCTTCTGCATTCTCTGCATCTCTAGATCCAGCGTCAACAATTCCGGCGTTTGTTATTTGTACAATCCAAATATTTTTCGTCTAATTAATTATGTCAATCAGCACGATAATGATAGTAGGCAGAAATATAGATGCTAAGGTATATTTTCTAAGGCGTATAGTGTCTGATAATAATTTGTTTTTAATTGTTTTTCCATCTCGCCGCCGGGCATTCACCCAAACTCTACTTCTCTGCAGCCCAAATTCGTCACAAGGGTAATTCATGACTGCGGCATCATATTGATCCTGATAATAATAACAATAATATTGATGACTAGAATTAATTAGTAACCCACATGTTAGACTGCGGTAATCGTCATTTGCAATGTGTTACTTCGCATAAGCATTTTGGTCGTTTAACAGCAAATAGGACTTATGTGTGTCCATTGGAACGTCACTTATACCGTAAAATGTTAGTTACTAAAAGTAAACGCCTGCTTATTTTGCTTTGGTTTCTACAGTATCGGAGAATTACTGACTAAAAACAAGCTGAGCATGATCAATAGTAACAATGCATCATAAATAAACGTTTGTAACTAAATGTTGGCTTTGCATTAAATGTGGGGACGGATGTTAAGAGCAGATAAACTAAATGTATTCGATTTTAAGTAACGTACTACGCGGATCAGGTCGTCAAATGCTCTACTTTTATTAAATACAAAGGTTGTGTCCCCATTTCGATAAATACCATTCGTTTTTAACCATCGATCACAAACCTCCCTGCAGCTAGGGTAGCAAGCGTCGTCGATGCGGTGATGGTGGATATGCGAGCCATAATCATAGAATAATCAAGGTGATCAATCGCATGCTAAGGAAGACCACACTAGGGATTCTGCGAGGTGGTGAATAATGTTTGAAGCGTTGCTCGGGCCTCGGCGTCTGCGTGTGATGAGTTTTTTTTGTTGGTCGAATCGTGGTTCAATAATTAAGTCACAGTACCTCCCACCACAGCACTTTTGTGTAGATCGCGTTTGTCGTACAGTCGAATCACAGTACGAGTGTCTGGGTCCTCCTGCAACGAACACGTGTCGCATTTTGAACTGGCTTTTGAAACCCGCCAAAAAACAAAAAGAGATTAAATCGAAATATATCCCGGTCCACAACTCAGGCTTACTCAGATGTAGCTTTACTATATGTGTGCCCGGTTAGGACAGAGAAAAGTACTACCTAACCCTATTCAGTATTCTTAAATGCTAGCTTTGTGACAATAGTTGTGGACCACCTAGACACACCATCTAGATTTAGAGTATATCTTGTGCTCTTTCATTCAATTTGTAGGAAATTTAACTCATGTGAATCGTTTATCGAATTCGCCCAGTTCGGAGTTCAATGTTCCACTGAATTCAGTTTATATCGATAACGGTATCAATGTTGTTCAAATAACATTTACGAAATTCTGCATGGCGTGTAGTGTGCAAACCGACTTGTGTAATAAGCGAGGCAAGTCAGCGGGACTATGATCAAACTCTATCGTAAACGAATGCTCCTCCTAAAATATAAATGGCTGTTAATATAAGCTGTGAGCGTATGACTGCCCCGTGTGCTTGAATGGAGATCGAGTTCTTTCTCGCCGACATGTACAAAGAGATCTTCCTGAGTTTAAAGTTTGTAAAGTATGGCTGTGTAACCTGCAAGTCAATGACTGGTAGACTTGCGTCAGCTAAAGTCGTAAACACCGCATCTGCTTTGCCACTTTTTAACTATTTTCTTATTAAAACAGAGCCGCTAAAGGGAAGCAATTGACACGAATTTGACATTTATAGCACGATTTTCCTAGACAATCGCGCAGGAACATATTTATATAATTAACTCTATTTTTTTTTGTGCATTTCCCAATTCAGCCCCATGTGCGTGTATGGGACTCGGTAAGTCTGAACACCCTTCACGTGATTGGTATCGGGGAGTTCGATCGAGCCATTAGCTGTTTGGCATTTAGTAAACTCGTAAGTAAAGCTTTGAAACATAGCCATATTTGAATTTCGTGTAAATTCTAAGTTATTCTTTACACGTTTGAGAATCGTTTCGAATGGAGGCAAAAGCGGCAATGCTGTTCCTATTAATTGAGTCCGTTATTCGCCGCAGTAATTAGACCAAGAGCACTGACTAAACCTTGTATTTGCAGGATGGAGGCTCAATCCTTTGCATCGTTGATGACTCGGCCGAACACATACTTGGCCTATGGGAGTGGCAAAAAGGTCACAAAATAGCAGAGACAAAGGTTAGCTAAACTGTTAGATTATGACAATTTCTAATAATCATCCGCACATTACCTATGTACGTCCCAATCATAGAGTTTACTAAATAGGAAAGAATCATATTTTCTATATCCTCTAACTTGTATGACCCGATTTCAGAGCGCTTCGGAGCCAGTTTTAGCTGTTAAATTCCACCCGATGGACCGACATCAGTTAATTTCGCTTGGTAAAGGCCATCTACATTTTTGGGACATGGAAGGTGGGACATTAGCGAAACGAGTTGGACTATTTGACAAAGCACACAAGCCCAAGTACATTCTGTGCGCCGCCTTTAATGAGCTCGGCGAGCTACTTACGGGTGATTCAAATGGCGCTCTGATGGTGTGGCCTCGGGGCGCCAACAAAGCCTCACGGATTATTGAAGATGCGCACGAAGGACCGATTTTCTCCATTTGCGCTATGAAGGATGGCACGTTGATTAGTGGAGGGGGGAAAGATCGTTTGCTAATTGAGTGGTCGGCAGATTTGGAACCTACAGGACGAAATGCCGAGTTAGCTGAGAGCAGTGGGGGCGTACGGACGCTTGTGCAGGGCCGTGGCTCACAATTGTTGATCGGGACTACACGGAACTGCATTGCGCAGGGTAGCTTCGAGATGTCGTTCTCAACTGTTGTCCAAGGGCACTCGCAAGAGGTGTGGGCGTTGGCTGCTCACCCGACGCAGGCACAGTTTCTCAGTTCAGGTTATGACGGTCACGTAAGTAAACCTCAGGAAGCAACTTATATGATTACCGTTCGGGTCGATTAACGACAACCATTTTTTGTTTATAGATTACTACGTTCATTGCGAATTTGTACAGGTACAAATTATGTTTAACACCAATTATTATCGAGATCTATGATGTACATATCATCTACTATAGGTCAAGCTAACACATCCTTCCGAAATTGATTATATTTTATTTTTTTACCCTAATAGAGATCAAACGAATCGATCCATGGATTTCAGAAGCCGAGAAAATACATAAACCGAAGAATAAAGAGGTCGATAAACAACAGAAACTAGAACAAAGTACACACAGAAATCATTCACTCGTATCACGCACTAGTAAATAAAAGACACGCTGTCGTCTAAGTAAAGTATAATCGGCTGCATATGCTATTTGTAAATGTATATGAAGTTTAAAGAAGTGGGACAAGGGAAGACAATTTATTCGAGATGAGTGAAGATCATCTTACGAAAACAATACACACCATTTTGTTCTAAAGAACCACGCAAGTACGAAATCATGTTCTCTATTCTCTGTGCTAATTTGAAGTAATCTAACTTTATATTGCTCTTCTTTTATATGTTACAATTTTCTTCAGATTAATTTGTTTGATTCAATGAGCCATTCAGTTGTATGGTCTCTACCGTGGCCCGAGCCTGTACAGAGCATCGCCTTTTCGCCGTGCGGAAGCATCGTGGCCGTGGCCTCTACAGCAGGAAACTGGAGCGCGTTCTGCGCGAACACAAGAAAAGTCTATGCAGCTCACCATGACGGCAACGAGCCTATTGACGTCATTCGTTACGCACCTAGTAAGCATAATTTTTGTGAATATCGTCATTAATGTAGCAATTCGATAGATATGCTTGTTTCATTAGAGAAAGCATGCACAGTGCAAACTAACTTAAACAGCAATAAAAACAACCGATATATAGGTGTAATACTGAAAAAGTGATGTTTGTTCGCAAAGACTCGAACTCTTTAGTGTTTCCTTATAATACAATTCATCCAGCTTTTTATCACCATTTTCGTCCGAGGTTAATTGATTGTTACCGTTTTATGGTTTTCTATAGACGGACAGTATCTGGCGTTGGCTTCGCGAGATAACTTTATTTACGTTTACCAAGTCTCAGAAGACGGCAAGAAGTACAACAGAATAGGAAGATGTGCGGTAAGGAACTATCTATATTGCATTGCAAACAGTATAGCGTTTAGTTGTGCTATATCTATCTTGCTCTGTATAGTTCCGATAATATTTAGGAAAACAAGAGGATATTGGTGTTGGGCAAATTTTTCCCGAGCAAAACGATTCGAGAATCGTTTTTGACGGAAACTTTATATTATAGTAGTGCTACGAGGAGAAACCCCTCGGGAAATCCAAGTTAAGCTACAATGCTACAAGTTTGAATCAGGTTCCTAAAGGCGTTCGTGGATACATACGTGCAAGCATTAACCATAATTTTCATTCGTTTAGGTAGAAATTTACTAAAGACGACCTTACCGATCATAATATCTTAAACGGTATCGTGATCGGCTGCGCTAGCAAGAGTCGCAAAACGCAGCAGTTTCGAGAGATCCAAAATGCTCGTCTGTGTTTTCCTTTTTAATGAGTCTCCTATCTCAGTGTGCTATAGTCAAGATAACGAAAAAAAGCAGGCCAGAACAATGCCTTCAAGCAACGATGGAAACGCTGTGATTTTTTATATAGATGCTCCGGAGAGGTGGAGAGTCCGAGTCTCTCTAACACCCTAACGAACGCTGGCCGGATATAGGATAGTCACCAGACGTGCTTTTCGTGAAGGGCGGTTGTGTCCACCACGTCTAACTAACTTCACGATCCTTCACTATGCTTTTCTCCATGCACGCTGCGCGCTTGGAATGCGATGACGGTGGCGACCATACGTCATGACCTACTGGCCATTACCACTGGCGTGTGTTCTCGGCCTTGATCGGTGTGGCGCTAAAAAATATGCCATTCCGTTGATAACGATGATTTTGTGTGATGATTTATGTACCATTCTGAATGGCTGACCTTTTTACCACTGCGCTGTATGAGTTACGTACACCGTCCGCAACATAATCAATTATTGACTAATAAAACCATGCAGAAATACACAGAAGCGCAGAATAGGATCCGAAAGAGACTCCTCGAACTTTGGGTATGAACACATTCGATTAGTGCAATGAACAGGCTTAAGAGCAAATGGCCCAAAAACTAGGACAATACAAGAGAAATCAGTAGAAGACAACAGACAAGTGAATTCTTTACAAACGCGACACATTCATCGATCTTTGTTTAACAATTTTGTCTAATTGCTAGTTATCGTCCTTACTTATTTAGTTACTACGTCTTGTTGAGTTTATGGTTGCTCTTTCAGCTTCGGTGAAAGCATGAAACTCGAATGTGACATGGGATTTTTTCGAAAACGGACTTGGCCTTTTAAAACTCACGATAGTAGATATTTAGTAATATTCGAATTATAGAAAAACTAGTATTATTTATAGGTAGAAGAGCCAAGTTTCGGCCTAAGTGATTCACCAGTGTGAGCACAAGGTTTTATTTTCGTTTCTTGTTCGAATCTCTCACAAGCAAATTCTAAAAGATATGATGCGGCTTTTCGCTAATGTTAGAGACGGGGTTCAAAGGAAAGAAATTTTATTTTGCATGAGCTTCTTCATTGTTTTTTCGATAGCTTACGCACTCGCCGTTATATACGCTTTTATTTGTAGGTATGTTAGGAGCTGCCAATTGTTGTATATAATGCATTTTATTCCCTATCTAGGGCCACGGAAGTGCCACCTCACAACTCGACTGGTCCGAATGCAGCACTTATCTCCAAACAACGAACTCTAACTACGAGATAGTCTATTGTAAGTAAATCTGAATGAAAAATTCCCGCCATGCTTTAATAATCACGTGAATTTAGGAACTTTAGAAAATTTAGAGAAAAAAAGTTATGGTCAAAGTTTGGAAACGAACTTAGACACACCTTTTGCCTTGTCGGGAATCAAATGTTTGAGGCAACGCTTGAAGATAGTTTAGCTACAAGGCAAGCTGCTTTGTACTTAAATTTTTTTAAGTTTAAAATTAAGAACATTATTAAATTAATTCGCATCCTGATCTTTGTAGTTTTTATTTATTTAATTATGTTAATTTAGTATTTTTTCAAATTTAGTTTTCGCACACAACAGTTTTATGCACACAACAGGTATAATTAAATAAAAAAAAATAAACGAGTAGTTCCCATTATATTTTTTTTACTATTGCCAAAAATCACCCTTAACCGCCTTTATATATTAAACATTCATTGAAGTTATGGAATAAATATGTGCTCTTTTTGCAAACTTATATGCCGGGTATTAATTAATAAGCTTTTTATTAATTGTCTGGGGCCATTCAGGGAATGCAACAATATGTCGACCGATCACAAACCCAAATCACGTCAAAGACGTAAAATGGGCAACTCAGACCTGCCCGCTGGGCTTCAGTGTATTTGGAGTTTGGTCAGAGCAACCCGAAAGCTCCGACATCTCATGTGTGTCGAGATCACACAACCGAAAACTGCTGGCAATAGGCGACGATTGCGGTAAGCTTTCTTCAAGCTGATTATTTATCGATATAATTTTTAATAATTATATCGGCATAAGACAACTATGAAACATGATTCACTGAACATTTATGTTTTCTTACATATATATTTTTCGTGACACTTTTCGGTTATCCCTAAATAGTGTCCGCAGTATCTGGCGTAGACTATGACGCACACTAGTGATCGCTGGGGAAGGTCGTGATTGCTAGAACACTAATATGCGTGCTTGTATCAAGCATGATCTGGGCTGATCACGTTGGAAAACAGATAGACGGAACGGGATTTCTAAATTCGTTTCATGCCGGAATAAATATTACGTGCTCCGAACATGGAGCTCCGAAAATAGCGGGATAGAAGACCCGAAACTTAAGACTGTCGCTCAAATCAGATGACATTAGCCAAATTGGATCTATCCATTTTGCCTATCTCAGCTTGGAAAAAGAGATCATTGAAGGGAACAAAGTTGACTCAGTATCCCCTTTCACACGAGCGTTATATCGAGGCTGTCGGGTACGTTAGCACTACGTCATTTTTTAGAGAAACCTCAGTGTTCTGTCTCGTGCTGTGGACGTTCCGTATGTAAAGTTGCGTTGCTGTTCGGGTGAATTCTGGGTGAACAGGTAAGAATAATAATAAATGCTGAGTTTCTTTTGTGCTCTTACAGGCAAACTCAAATTATTCGTGTATCCCGCTAACGAGCCTCGCTGTTTGTACCATACAGCCAATGGACATTCGAGCCAGATGGCGGGCTTAGCATTTCTGCCCGACGATTCCCGCCTGGTCTCGATCGGTGGCAAGGACTTTGCCGTCATGCAATGGTGTCTACAGTAGTCGGCAATCGAACCTCGTGCGAAACCCCGCAGCTGTATATCTTAAACCAGCGTATCTAATATGATGAGTCGGGCTGTGACGATGCAACCTGAGAAGCTGACGTCCGAGTAAATTGGCAACAAATCTTTCTCAGTTCATTATCGCTGCACTTTACAAAAAGATACGTGTCTAGCCATATAAGAAAACAATAGTGCTTTCAGGCACTTTTTTCATGATTAGGTTGAATTGAGACTGAACTAACGATGGTGAGAGGGCCTGATGATTGGTGCGGAGGCCTTGCCAATATTAGTCAGGCCTTCAAAGGTGGTTTTCTCTTAGTGAAAGACAACCATTGATTCACTGTACAGTAATGATAAAACAAGAAAAAAGAGACAACGGTACTAAGTAAGCTGCTGTCTGTCTGAACCAGGAAGTGACGGCACGCAATCATTAGGACACATTTTGCAATATATGCTCGCATTTGGCAGTGGACCTCTTCGGGCTAGGGTGGTTAAATGAAGCTGGGTCTTGAAAGAAACCCCAACGAATAAGGTGTGTAGTACTGTCGAAGGCCACTTCACTGATTACCAGCTAGGTCTTTAGCCACGGCAGAATTCGTGTTCTGCGTATTCCTTGTACATACACGTTGATGATACTGCACCGGTGACAATGTGTTTCATCCTCAAAACAATAGCAGTAACAAAAGCACCACAACTATTACTAATCATGGATTAAGAAAGCATAACCTAACTAATGGCGGTAATTAGACAAACACAGATATTTGATATCGCGAATAGGAGTATTACGTCCAGGAGGCGTTTAAGTGATCATACGACAGTTATGCTATACTATAACTAGCAAAGGCACGTGAGGACGGCGATATAAGTCGATACGTAAAGCATAGCTTTATTTTCTTTTTTCACCATCCTCATTATTACAATTATTTATAATACCGCAATTCGTGTGCTGTTTGACGGCAGCGTATAATAATCCACTTGCTCTTTCCGGCTGTTTAGGTATCCGACTATAAAATATATCTAAGACCGCTTTTAAGAAAAGGCTGTCAACAAACTGGTCGTTACCTAGTAACTGTAAAATGAAGGGCCCGATTCTTTTTGGCTGATCATGAACTATTTTTTGCGCGACTTCTGGAGGACCCAGAAGAAATACCCCCCGAACCTTGTGACAGTAAAAGAGGGCTTCGATCTGCTTCGTAAGCGCCCAGCAATACACTAGAATACATTAAATACATACAGTATATATATATATATACAGACGTACAAACACGTTTATCAATCAAATAGATAAATACATAAGGAGGCAAAAAAAAAAACCCTAGTATCACACTATACTATCACGGGTATAATATTAAGCTGTGAATTTCCCCTCCCACTTTCGCCTTATTATTCTATCTGTTTATAATGACCTAGGAACAGCTGTTTCTAAGTTAATCTAGTGGGTACGTACTCAACTGTACGTAATGTACTTTGCTGTGATTACTGTTATTATTACCATTTTATTACTATTTCTGCAGTTGTCGATGCTTTGTTACTATAAGACTTGGAAACGATTTGACAGTGTATAGCACAATCTGATAGAGTGTAGAGAGAGAAGCGTTTTCGTTGCCTAAAATTTACTTACAAAGGATATTGGTTTTCGAGTAAAATTCCATGCATGAATTTTGCTATTTGTTTACCTTTGTCGGTTTCCTAGGTTCATTCATAAATATTCATGTTGTTGCATACACCGGTAGCTGCATGGTCAAAATTACTAGAAATAGACTTATATCGATCGAATACATACGTCATTATATCAATCATCAATATATAAGCAGAGTAGCCAGACAGAACACAAACAGGATGAACCTTCATTGGCTTGAAAAAACAGAACTGGAATTTATCGAAATTTTGTTCACATTAACAAGGAAGGAGCATGTGCTCCGACAAATTGTTGCACAAATTCTTCTGTGCATTCCTTAGCTTTTGCCAAATTGTCAGGATTATACAACTAAGGAAAAATTGAAATTTTCCGAGCTGAGGTTATTGATGAAACAGTAGAATGAACCCAATATGTTAATCAAAAGAGACAGAATGCAACAATGACGCATATTCGAGAAAACATGGCGACTTATCAGATTCGATCTCGACTCCCGATCTTTTTTAACCTCGTAATCTACCCTTAGTCCTTTATTATTTTTCAATAAACGCGTACATCTATTTATAGCCTATCTACGTAAACGACCTGCTTTTCGACGGAAAATTTAACTATTGACTTCTATATATATCATTCACCCCATCCGCTTAACGAACTTGTTTATCTATAATGTGATAACGATGACAAACTCTGCCGACGTGACTCAAACTATGATCATCGCAATAGAATAAACGTATGACGGTGCTCCATCACTGTATTGCAGATCCGTCGTTCGTTAAAGCTAAAGTGAAGTAAATAGTTGGGTAACGAGTAGATATTTTTTAATCATTCCTCTAATACCTACCCCAATTCTTTCCGATTTATGTCGATTTGTGCTTTTCTTTACTGCTACCGGCCAGTAGTGCGCGTGAGAGTCACCGCAATGATGCCTTCGAGGTATGGCTGAATCCGCTTCTACACAGATTTTTATACACAAGTGTAATATAAAAAAAAAAAAAGACTAGGCGATCGGTTGTGGCAACTGTGACAACAATTCTGCCGCTTAACAAAAGCACAAGAACTTCTATAATAATAAAATAATTTTAATTACTACTATTATCACTTAATGACGAGAATAATGTTTTTGAAAAATACGATAAAAGCACGTCGATTCGACAACACTGACACTGTGAGCACATCGACTGTGGATTGAGTAATAGAGAAAACTAAACAAATAAAATTAAAAACAAATTATTTATTCATATTAAATTTGTCTTTATTCAAGTCTCAGCAGTAGGCGTTTGGTGTTCGCCTTGTTTAAACGACGATCAGCATACATCAAACGTGATTTCTTTTTTTCTAGTTTTGCATTTAATAATATATTTGACTTATCAACAGTATATTAGCTATGATATCTTTATTGCACGTTTATTGCACGCAACATGGCATAAAAACGTTCACCTTTTGCCACTTTGTTGTTGTTGTTATCAATTATCTTTAGATGTATCATTTACAATAAAGATACGTAATTCCACGGGGACAAGTTGTGGAAATAGTAAAACAAACTGTAAAAAACGATGTAGTTCGGGTTAGCAGCTTAAAAAATTACTGTTTTTGGAAAAAAATATTTATAATGGTTCCCAACAGTGCGCAGACAATCTTAGGACGGTAGCAAAAAAGTAAAAATACGATATTTTCTTCCTGGTAAACCCGATGACTCCGCTTACTATATGTCCAAGCAAATACATATTAGTATATTTAATATATCTGTACACTTCGTTATAATACGTTTTCTTTCTGCCGTCACACAAAGCTAGGCGAGGAAAATAACGCTCCTCAAGGTCGTACGGCTTCCATTATGTAGCTGCGCGTAGTAATTATGCAAGACGACCTATGGGTCAATCAAGGCTAATGATGTTATGTCTAAATGCCAGCTCGTGGTATCCGATAGTGTAGTATCTCATTGTTCCTTCGAGAGTTAATTACAGTTCTGGTTCTCTACTTCATTAAAACGCAACTATAATAATCTAATTAAGTACACTGTCATTTAAATTCGGCAAGAAGCCTCAAGGACATGAGGCATAAGCCTGAGGTATCCTCTCGATCGCTGAACGCATAGGTAGAAAAATATCAAATGCCAAGCATGGGACGAAAATCTGAGTAATGCATGACTACAATACTTTACACGCTGGTCCCCAGCAGCGCTAGTGGTATTGGGTTCGGTCGTGTAAACATTTAAAAAACGCGCATTTGGTTGCATTTCATAGCGTTTGTACTCTGTGTGGACTAAATACAAGCACGTCAACAAGAATAGACAGAGATCTCAAATTTACGGGAGAGCGTAGTGTCGCAGTCCAGAAAAAAA